ATGCACTTCTTATTAGAATTTAAAACCAGAGAGTGGTATACTAGTAAACTAACAATGGTAAAATGCTTGTTTTGAAATGGTGAAGTAATCCATTTCTGCCAGCACACTGCTCCAGAGGAGAAAATTTGGGAATGTACACAGCAATTCAAAATAATGATGGTAACTTAAATAGCACCTTTAATTCAGGTGGTTCTTCAAAGTATTTTAGAACTTTTATGGGAACCCCTTCATCTTCACCTAAATGCGACAGCTTCTGGGGTGAAATGCAGCAGGTATTTCATGTTGCACAGCAACACAACAGTTTAGAGTTGGAAGTGAAAAATACATCTGGGGGAGTTTTAGGTGCAGTCACCCGCATCGGAATCTGGCCAAGACACAGATATTACAGCTTCCTTTCCTGCAAACAGTACTGTAAGCACTTTGACCATGAGTGGTCAAGATCTCAGTTTCATGTCTTACTTCCCCAATACCACTAATGATCACTAATGATGCAATCAAGAGCACCACTTGCTGAATCTTCAACATCATTTTCTACAGTACCTTAGAAATCAACTTTTCAGGTACTCCCCAGGCAAGCCTGAGTTATGAGATCACAAGTTGGTATGGCTGAAATAAGACCATAGATGCTCTACGGAAACTCATAAATTTACTACAAAGGGAATAACTGAAGTGCTGAAGAATTATTTTTCATGTCACTACAATGCCAGTTTTAACTGTACTCAATTCAAATTAACTTGAATATTGCTCTCAAATGATAGGCTGAATGTAGGTTTATGCACGTGTGTACTGAACATGTTTAATATTACCACTGTGAGATCATCAATAACATGCTGCTGCTCTATGACTTGCAGTCTCAGGAATTCCATTTCTTGTTCCTCTCGTGTGCTACTGAGATCGTTCAAGGAAGTGTGTCTCTTCAAAGTTGGCTGTGTGGATAACTTTTCTTTCTGCAAAAATCAAGTTTATTATTATTAACACAACCAACTCTTAAACGTCTTCCTGCAGCATTAGGTAAAACCCTCACCTCTGATACACTAACGTGATGCTTCAGAAATCTGCTCCAGCACAACGTAAGGTCCTTTTTCCACCAAGCAAATATTTACACTTTAAACACATACAGAGTATATTCTACATCTCACTTGGACATCTAAAACTAGGATGGAGAAAGCACTCGTGAATATACTCTAGAGAACAATCCTGAAGAGGGTCTTTACCATCTCTAGTTTATACAGGTCAAATTCAGCTCTGACATATAAATCCATGCAAAATCCCATGTAATGCCAAGGTTAATTTTAGCCCTCTATTTTATACCCTTTTATACCCTTTACACATTAAAGCCACAATGATCCTTATTCTTAATCAATTTTGTTTAATAAATAATGACAAAGCAAATAAAAATAACAGAGTCCTGTGGCACCTTTAAGACTAACAGATGTATTGGAGCATAAGCTTTCATGGGTGAATACCCACTTCGTCAGACATATTCACCCACGAAAGCTTATGCTCCAATACATCTATTAGTCTTAAAGGTGCCACAGGACTCTCTGTTGCTTTTTACAGATCCAGACTAACACGGCTACCCCTCTGATACAAATAAAAATAAACACTCTGATTTTAGAATACTACCCACCACTAGAATATTGTATTTGACATTGACACCTTCACATGGCTTAGCTTCTGACATACCAGTATTTATCTGAGTAAGAGCCACACATTTGTTTTCAACTCTAAGCTACTAAGAGCAGCTGCTCTTACAAAGTAACCTCTGATACGTATGAGATAGTTGCTTACCATTTCTGCATTTTCCCTTGTGAGATTTTTAATTTTTTCTTCCATCCTCTGGATACACTGCAACATGTCCTCATTCTTTTTGGTCATCCTCTTGTTTTTCTCTACAAGGGGCTTCAGCTGACCTTCGGTCTCCCGAGAACGTTTCAGCTGCAAAGGGGGAGGAACCCCAAAATGTCAGTTAATCATAATCTGGGCTACAATGACCTGAAAGGAGGAGGAACACTTGGGTTTTCAGTCTCCCTTCATTCATTCATAAAGACTATTTTTCCGCTTACACACCACTGCTGAACTAAACTGTATGCATCTAAAAACTTATAGCCTTTGCTTGTCACCAAAGTGAAACTAAAATGGAAGTCAACGCAGGTTTGAGTAAAAAATCAATGGCAAGGATGCAGCACTCGCTATTAACAGAACTGAAAATACCCTCACTGCTAAGGCTGGTCTTTGCCATTATACATCATATTTTGTTGTTGGGAAGCACACAGATTTATATAATTTATCTCTTGATAAACTGTAAATCTTATGCATGTGCTTCCAGTGAGTTATTAGCCCTTTTCCTAGAAAAGGGAAAATAATAGTTACCTTTCACCCATTTAAATATCCTTTATTAGAAATATACCACACTCCCTTATTTTAAGGAAATTATACCTAATGTGTAATTAGCACAATCAGGGAGTCAGCCAGAGGGCACAGATTCAATCTCAGAGTTCTGCTGACATTTTCAGCTGCTCAATTTTGTTCCCCTATTTTTATGATGTCAGACAATCATCTCAAGTAAATTACTGCCCTTTCCCCAATTTGTGATATTCAGTATTTTACTAGTTTTATCTCCATAGTCCTTGAACTGTTCTGTTTCCCTATTTTTATCATCAAAAAGACTTTAATATGCACTGGGCTTTAACTGAAACTTCAGGAAGATAACATTTTTCTTAAAGATTTGTTTCATCTTGGAAAGGATATACATTTTTGTCATAAGAATTCAAGTACAGCAGTTTACAACGTGCCTCTTCATATGGCAAAGCCTGCTTTACTTTTTTAAAAAACATATTAGTGATGCCTTCACTTCAGGCATCCAGAAGAATATTTGATTGAGTTATACATGCCCCACATCCTACTTTAATGTAATAGGCCCCAAAGATTTCAGTCTGCAGTATTTTAGCATTTCTTAAGGGTGTGAAGGAAGGTAAATAGCACGTTCAGGGAAGCGATCCAGTTACTAAACCTTTTCCTCCCAATAGCACACCAGATAAAAGAAGAGCTAGAGCAAAAACAGTAAGATAGTCAAGAGCACAAAGGATATTCAGTATCGAAGAGTAATATTAGGAAAATTACTTACAGCAAAACACCACCTTACCCAGGTCAGCCACGCCTGCCCTTATGCTAAGGATTATGCCATTAAGGATCATGCAATATGATCCTAAAAATACTTCAAGGGTGCTAGGAACAATTTGTATAGTGGGGGTGCTGAGAGCCACTGAACCAAACTGTGAACCCTGTATATGATGGAAAACGCTTCAAGCCAGAGGGTATGGCAGCACCCCCAGTACTCCTAGTTCCAGCACCTATGAAAGAATATAGGAAATTATTTGAAGAGAAAAGCTATAGGAGAAGGGCATGATATTTTTCTCACTTACTCCAGTTTTTATACTAGGGTAGTGCCATTAATAGCATTAGTCCTGATTTGCACCAACACTAAAGTGTCTAGTTTCTTTAAGCAGCCTATTGATTATCCTTAATGAAGAAGCAGAAGACAAGGAATTCATCACTGCTCTGTTCCAATATGTATTCTTTTAGAATATGTATAAGAAATGGCTATTTACTGTAATTGTGATTCTTCGAGAAGTAGATGTGCATGTGTCCAGTGCGCCAGAGGAAGAGATTTTTGCCTAGCAGTACCCGTAGAGGGGCAGTGCTCGCGCCTCATGGCTGTGGCCCCTCCTCTGGCTATATGAGGCACTGCCCCAACCCCCCTCAGTTCCTTTGCACAGATGTCCATGAGAGGAGACTCCAATGCAGAGGGGACAGTGAGTGGGTCATGGAATACACGTCTGCATCACATCTTAAAGAACCACAATTACAGTAAGTAACCATTTCTTCTTCTTTGAGTAGATACAGAGATGTATTCCACTTAGGTGATTCACAAGCAGTACCCCAATCCAGAGATGGGGCTCAGAGTCTACTGGAACAGGGATTGCAGGACTGCCCTTCCAAGGCCTGGGTCCACATCTCTCTGGAGTCACCCTTCAGTAACCAGTCATTGAGGTATGAGTGGATTCCTTCGCTCCGGAGATATGCCACGACCAATGCCATGCATTTGGTGAAGACTCGGAGGGGGAAGAAGAGAGATCAAATGGGAGAACCGTGTACTGAAAGCAGCATTCTACCACAAAACAAAGACATTTTCATGTGGCAATTCTGCTGAGTCACAGGAAGTAGGCACCTGAAGGACCAGAGCAGTGAACCAGTCATTCTGAGACAGTGCTGGGAGGATAGCCAGAAGAGTAACCATGCAGAATCTCAGGTACTTGATGAATTTGTTGAGGCCATGAAGGTCAAGAATGGGTCTCATCCTGCCCTTGGATTTTGGTATCAGGAAGTACTGGGAGGAGAAGCTGGGGCCCCAGTGTTCCTGCAGGAGCTCCTCCACTACTTCCAATGTTAGCACAGAGTTGACCTATTTGATGAGCAGCGTCTTGTGAGAGGGGTCCTTGAAGAAAGACAGTGTGGGTGTGGGTGTGGGTGGGAAGGGGCATGGAGAAGAACTGGACTGGATTGCTAGGATCCAGCTGTCGGAAGTAATCAAATCCCAAGCATTGTAAAAACAGGCCAGCCTGTTCCCAAAGCCATAGGGGGGATAAAGAGAGTGGAGTAACGACTGGACCAGTGCTCTGGACTAAGGAGTCAAAATGGGTGCTTAGCAGGCCTGAACCTGACTGCTTTCTCTTTCTCTTTATCCCTCTTTGTAGGGTAGTCCCACTGTTTCAGGGGGGAAGGTTGAGCAAAAGGAATGCTGCAGGCAGTATTGCTGCTGTACCCCATAATGGTATCTTTGCACAGAAGGCATGTACACTCCCAAGGCCTCAAGGTAGCCTTGGAATCCTTAAAGAAATGCAAAGTAACATCAGTCTTATCCAAGAACAAGACCTGGTTGTCAAAGGGCAAGTCTTCAATGGCTTGCGGGACGTCCAAAGTGATCCCACAGTTTTGAAACCAGGAAGCCCTCCTCATAGTTACCACTGAGGCCATCACTCTGGCCCAGGTGTCCGCAAAGTCAAGGGTGGACTTCAGAGTCATTTTGCTGCAAAGCAGCCTCCACAACAAACTCCTGAAATTCCTCATGCTAGACGTCAGGGCAGGCAACTGGTCCTCAGATTTAGATATGGCTGACCAATTGAGGAAATTATACTTGGACAGCAAAGCTTGTTGATTCATGATCCTCATCTGAAGGGACAAGGAGGTATAGATCTTTCTGCCCAGAAATTCCAACTGCTTGGAGTTTCTGTCCTTGGGGGTAGATGTGAACCTATCCTGCTGGGCCCTGACATTTACTACCATTACAACCAGGGAATTCATGACTGAGTGGAAATAGAACCCTTCAAATTCCTGCATAGGAACAAAATAGTGCTTTTCCATGCACTTAACCACTGGTGGTACTGAAGCGGTGAACTCACACCAGCTCAAGGGGTTCATCTTTAATCAGGAGGGCCACTCTCCCAGGGACAGCAGGCTGCAAAATGTCTAGCAGTTTGAGTGTGTTCTCCTGAAGAAACTTCACATGGATGCTGAGGGATGAGACTATGTGGCATAAAAGATCCTGGTACGCTTTAAAGTCCACAACTGGCTCTTGCTCCCAGGAAGAAGTACCCAGGAGGGAGGACTCTGGTGGCTCTGCAGGGAAGAAGACAATCAATGCTTGGGCTTTTGGCTAATGCGCAGTCACCCCCGTCAACCTGGCAGGTGACTTTGGCTTAGATCGGGACAAGGAGCAGGATCTCCGCAAGCAAGTAGTAACCCACTGAGTCCAAGGAGGCCACTAATATGGGGAGAACATTGGTGGTCAGTAGGGGCCGGGTCAGGGACCTCTGCCCCAGCCATGGGGCATGTGCCAACCCTGGTCCATATTGATCCACTGGCCCTTGGAGCTTGTCAGGGGATGCGAAGTGGGAAGATGATGACCCTGACTGGGATTCATGAGAACCCTGCGATCTTGGGGCCAAGGCAGAGTGATGCCCGAGGGAGCCAATAGGCAGTCCAATTCATCTGACGTCCAGAATGAGGCAGGAATTGGTGCCCCCTCATGATGGAGGTACCATTGGTACTGAGCATGCTGGTGCCACAGACAGTTGGAGTCTCGGTGCAAACAGCAGTACCAAAGCACTCAAGTGGGTCACGGGGGGAGAAAGCCACCGTGGGAGCCTCTGCAGCGTCATATGCAGCAGGGCTGAAGAGGGTCCCCCATACCAACACACATGAGGATTCAGTGGCTCGCTCCATCAGAGGGGCTACAGATTTTCCCTGCCTCTGGCACTTCAAAGATATATCTACTATGACAGAGCCAAGACAAAACTGGCACAGTTGCTTGAAAACAGAATGACCAGTCACTGGGGGAAAGACAGGGCCGCCCAGGGGAGAGGGGGGAGGCAAGTGGGGCAATTTGCCCCAGGCCCTGGGCCCTGCAGGGGCCCCCATGAGAATATAGTATTCTATAGTATTGCAACTTTTTTTTAATGGAAGGGGCCCCCGAAATTGCTTTGCCCCAGGCCCCCTGAATCCTCTGGGCGGCCCTGGAGAAAGAAAAAAAAGAGTACTGGATTTTACTAGATAATATTTTAGGTATGGTAGGTAAGTTAGTCTTTGAGGACAGGTATTTCGTTACTCAAGAATAAATAAAGGAAGACAAAACCTTCATATTGTTTCACAAATGAACTCTTCTGAAGTTTTCATAGAATCAAAGAATATCAGGGTTGGAAGGGACCTCAGGAGGTCATCTAGTCCAACCCTCTGCTCAAAGCAGGACCAATCCCCACACAGATTTTTGCCCCAGATCCCTAAATGGCCCCCTCAAGGATTGAACTCTCAACCCTGGGTTTAGCAGGCCAATGCTCAAACCCCTGAGCTATCCCTCCCCCTATGTAAATTAAGTCAAGGTATCATAGCTCAATTAAGTCCATTCATCACAAAGCAGAGCCTTTCAATACCAAAACAATAGCCTAAAACTGATAAACCAGTAAGGTGATTTGAAAACCTCGTACAATATCCACACCAGTCAAATACTGTACAAATCACATGAAGAGCATGTTACATTTACGATGCTAGAAACCAGGTGTCAATTTAGAAACAAACACACAGCTCCAATGGTGTTGGAACAATTTGTATAGCAGGGATGCTGAGAGCCATTGAACAAAACTGTAAACCCTGTATATAATGGAAACCACTTTAAGCCACGGGGTGCTGCAGCACCCTCCGCACCCCTGGTTCCTGTACCCCTGCATAGCTCATGTTATGGAACATTCTAAACCTAGCCAGAGTGAATGAATTATCCTTTGCTACTGCCAAGACATACAGGTGGGATTTTCAAAAGTTCTCAGTGTTGTCATAACGCTGCTTCCATTGCAGTCAATGAGAGTTTTACCATTAACTTTAATAAGAGCAGAGTCAGACCAACACTGAATGCTTTTGAAAATTGCACCCTAACTATCCAAGAAAATACATTTATTAAATGCTCCTCATTTCCTTCCATTTCTAAGTTGCTATCTCTCACCCACAATACCTCCTCTTATTTCAAGAGTTTCCCTGGAGATTAGGCAATGGTAGATTTTTCCATTAGAAAAACAAGCTTTGTAGCTCTTAGTCAGCGTAAGAAGTTCACAAAACAATGGTGGCATTGTCAAGTTTCATTACTTCAAAGAGTAATATAATAAATTAGTTACATAGCTTACATACATGTCATGGTGCCGTATATTACCAAATGCTGCATGCAAGCTACCACTCATAATTTGGTGCCCCCTTTGTGTGAACTATTTGTAGAGAGTTCTGAAGAAGATGAAAAGGAGGAGCAATCATTTCTAAACCTTTTCCAAAGTTGAGTTTCTTATGTTAAACTTCCTTCTCTTTGAAAAAGGAAAGTGACTTTTACATGGAATGACAGCCTGGAGGACAACAGATTTAGCTCTGAACCCTGCAAATGTTCCATCCTTGTGCCCAAACGAACCATTCAGTGAAAAGGAAAAGCACCCAGAAAATAGCATAATACTGTTCTCTCTCTACACCAGCAGTTTCAAAGTCCTGGCTGATTAGCTACTATGGTGTTAGACACCTTAGAAATAGGAGATAGAAAAAAATATTCCTGGGAAAGACGTGTGGAAGAAAGAAATGGTGAATTCGCATGGAAATTATTTAATTATTATTTATTAATTATTTAATTATTTAAACATCTTAACTTCAGCGAATGACCTCTATAGCGGTCATGTTTGGGTGTAAAGGGACACAGTTTCTTCTTAGAATATATACATATTAAGTAAAACTAAAAAGCAATAAAGACAAAGATTAATATTTTTAAAATCAGTTCTTAAGGGACCTCATAAGAATCAAAGGAAAGAAAATAGAGAATATCTGAGTCAAGCTATTTGCAAAGAATGCATGTGATGAAGGGACATACAACAAGGGGACAAGAAATAAGGGAAAGTAAATCAACCAAATAGGAACATTTAAAAAAATCTTTAAGTTCTACAATATTTCAGTTTGTTAGCAACAGAGACAAATAAGTTAAACTCTGCCTGAAAACACAACTTCTCTGAGTACCATTAAGATATTATCCTGCAAGTCACCATCTGTGTTATTACTAATTATTTTACCAGTTCATTTCTTTCATCTGCTAAAAGGGTATTTCTGTCTTCTAGCTTCCGTATTACAGCATTCAGTTCAGCGATTTTTAGTTGAAATCTCCGTATGTCTCGTTCATCCATATGCTGTTCCTTTAAAAACATACAAACCAAAAAGGGATTTTTTTTCCTTTCAAATATTCATTTACTACACAGAAACATGTACTTAGATTATAGCAGGCAGAGTTTGCATTCAGTGTATGCATACACCATGAATACTGTAGAGAATATCTATAGGCATTTGTATCATTGACTGGAAAATATTTTTAATATTTACATGACCTGTTACAAATATTTCTTATAAGAGTCACATGGTTGTACAAGCTGAAAAAGGGCAAGCAGCCAAAAGGTTAACTCTAAGCTACAATATGTAAAAAATTAAAATTAAATCTTAAATTGTGTGTGTAAGACCTACTTCTAGTGTTCTTTGTACTAGCTAGATCAGTCTCATGCCAGAATTAATAGTACAGCACAGAACATATTTATAAGATAGCACCTTACAGATTTGGAAAAGAATAAGTACAAATTCTCTTTTAATGTCTATTGTTGTTGTATAGAATAGTTCATATTCATAAAATAAATGTCTGAAGGAAACAAATGGTTCATCATTGCAACTGGAGAAACGCACTTAATCAGTCATCAATTACAAGTAATAACCTCACATTGTGGCCACATTTACCAGTTTAAATGGTCTAAATTCAAATGTTTTAAAACATTCTTCAAAATTCAAGAGCCAAGTGAAGTTTTTAATACTCAAAAAAGTGGAGTTACTTTTACCGCAACAATGCAACATACAGTGCTGTTACCAGTGCAATGCTCCTTTGGCAAGAATTAAACATAACTCACAATTCCGTGTTTTCAGAGCATCTGGAAATGCTGTGAAAACAGATACAATAACTGACCTATGAAGACTATCTGCTTCTCTTACCGGGCTTCCCATCATTTCAGTGATGTCCCCTATTCCAGCAGGAAGTTCCTTCTTGGGGCTACCATGGTACCGTTCTGCCTCCTTTACTTGGACAAGCTGTTCATCCAAAGCTTCTTTCTGAAGCAGCAGCTTTTGTGCATGGCCTGCCTGGACACCAAGATCTTTTTCCAAAGCCAAAATCACTCTGTCTTTGCCTTTTATCTCATCCATCTGCAAGGGAACAGAGCAAGAGAGAAACTTCTGTAACATCTCCATGTCTTTACAACAGGCAGCAAACATACCCACAAAAGAAAGTTCTGCTCTCAAAACTACAGTGGCCACCTAATTGTGACTCTTTAAAATCAAGCTGCATCTACCTGAAATAAACATTCTTTTTCCTGCAGAAGACATCAGTCTTCCATTTGCTGAGGCCCCAATCCAATGCCCATTGAAATCAATGATTACTTCAATAGAGGTTGGAGTAGGCCCTATGTAACAAAGTCCTGGGAACTAATAAATGAGCCAGCACTCTGATCACTTAGGCACCAATCAGTTCCCCTGGAAAAGGCTGATTGGGGATATGCAACTAATTAGCTGATCCGGCTAGTGAACTGATTAGCCAGCAGATGAGAAGTATAAAAGAAGACCCAGGAAGGCAGTGAGGGGGGAGGACCTAGGCTAGTTGAACCTAGTATGCACTGAGTTCTCAAGGAAGGGAGATGTCTGTTCCTGGTTGGTCCAGTAGGAAAGAGCCAGAAACCTTGCAAATACTTTGCTGCACAAGACTGTATTGGAGATGGGAATATAAATAAATTCATATAATTTGCCACCTACTGATGGAGTCTGAAAGGTTTCTGGGGCTTGTCCTATTATGCCCTACATGAGGTAGGTATAAAACAAAGAAAAAATGCTCTCTATTTGAGGATGCATAATTTCTCTGGACAAAAAAAGAACCTTTCTTCACTATATTCTGGGAAAGATATTCACCTGTGGGGCAGAGGGCCAGGAGGAAGCCAATGTACCATTTAAATCCCAACTAAGCCTTATTTTGGGGCTTAAGTGATACATCAGCCTCCTGCTGCCCCCCGTCTAAGAGTGAATTTCAGACATGACGATTCTTTCCACAGACAAATGCTATTAAACCAAAATGTGTACATTTAATCCAAGATTTGGAAACATACCTAACTACTTTTCTTCTTGCTCCTTGTGATAAGATTAAAACGTAGATTAGTCTTTGCATAGAATGAAAAAGGAAATGTTTTATCTCACAGCACTCTGAGTGGGTGAGACACTATTTCAGCATGGTAGGGAGAAACATTTCCCTAAATCCTATCTTTGTTTACCCAAATGTGTTGCTCACGCATCTCAAAACTACCCAGAGCATATTACCAGCAATAAACTACTGTAGCGTACACTGGATGTGCCCCGCACAGCATCAGCAAAATTGACTTTGATAATATTCCAAACACTAGGGGAAGTGGCAATCTACACTAGTTACTATAGAAACAGATTTCTTAACATGTACAATAACAATGTACCATATATTTATTGGGAATGTGCTACATGCTTTCTTTTTCAGTTTACTGCCTCATTTCCTTCCTCCCTTCAAATGTAAATCCATGGGATCATTAAAAAACCCAAAATTAAATCCATTAAGTCATATCATATGTAACATATTCCTTATCCCAATCCTACATTAAGAGTGCATTAACCTTAAACAGTCAAGTGCTCAAAGTAAGGAAATGCCAGAATTAAGGTTGTCCTTGCAATTGTAACTTCTGGTGCCTTGTATGTTTGCATTGCAATAAATTCTTTATTACATGATCACAGACTATTTGTTTTGATTCTTGCCTTACTCAGTTCCAGTGAATGAGGCAAGACTATGCACTGACTCAGGCTGGTACCGTGCTTCAGACACTGCAGAAGTTGGACCCTGTGAAGCAAATGGAGGCATGATCCACAGTAAGAGGAAGGACAAGCTTATTGTTAAGAAACTGGACCGGTCTCAGAAGAGCTGGATTCTACCACCACCTCTGCCACAGATTTCCTAAAGGACTCTGGGTAAGTCACTTAATTGTTCCGTGCCTCAGTTTACCCACCTCACTAAATGTATGAGGACAAATTAATTCATGTTTGTGAGGTTCTCAGCTATTCTGGTGATGAGTGGAAAAAGGAAGGGTTCTCAAAAAAGAAAAAAATCGTATTCATGGAACGATTTGTATGATGTGTACTCTTTGAAGCAGGGCGACAATGAACAACAATAAAAAAAATTGAACAGCTGCCTCATTCACGGAGCACCATCCATCAAGTGCACTGAACCAGGCAGGGGTCCTCTGGGAAAATAATATCTGATCATGGAACTAAACACTGTGGGCAAAATTCTGCTGTCAGTTACACAGGTGCTGTTCCCATTGAACCCAATGAGAGCCACTCCCACGCAACCGAAAACAGAATCAGGCCCCGTAACATAATGCATATGCATGAGGAGGAAGAATTAAAGTTGCATGGAAAGCCTTAATTTTAGCAATGGCTATCTTCTGGGCACTTCACTTTACAACTCTAATGTTCTTTTAATTTAAACATTAAATGGAATTTCATAGTTGTGAAAAGAAAAATGAAGAGACATTTCGGCATGTGTTGCTATTTGCTAAACAGCAGCAGAATGCTCTGTTCGATGCAATACGTACAATCATTGAGGAAGAAACTCAAGCCCTGGTCTTTTTCCATGTACAACTTCACAAATCATATTCCACAAGCCCATGAGGTTCCAGGAAGCAATAGAAGTTTTGGGGTGTGTGGCAAGGGGCCAGCGGGAGGGGTGTTAAGCAGAAAAACTGCTTTCCTCCAGCCACCTCTTTTGCCATGCTTAAAAACAATCTATTTTGGTGAAACTTTCAAGCAAAAATAATCACATTTCAGTCAAAAAAGTTAAACTTCAGTAAAGTTATAAGAAACTGAAATGACCCCTTTGAGCGGAAATGTATGGGCAACCTATTTTTTTAATACACACACACACACACACACACACACACCCCTATACATACTGTAATGCACGTTTCATTACAGCCACAAAGAGACAGAAGAGGAAGTTTTTAAGCAAGCTTGCACAGTTAATTCAATTCATAAAGATAAACAGAACAGCGGCACAGTTGCAGTTAGACACCCATCTGTCTTATGTTGCTATGAGCAACAGTATCTCCATGTTGAAAAAGAAACATATCTGAAGATGGAATAATGGAAGTGAAACTATTGTTATCTTGGAAGGTTTTAGACAGACAAATTGGATCTTTTAATGGTGAAGGAATATTGTGTCTCTTTATTGGGTGAATCTATATTAAGAAAAACATTTAAATATGTATTTTGTATCCAACTCTCCTCTCTTGGATCCTTTCATTTCTATCTTTACTAAGAGAGAGTTATGAAATATCTGATGCAGTATATTCTTTAATGACGGAGTTTAATCCTATTTCAGCAGTTTAGGTCAAAATTCAATTCCCCCCTTTCCTCAAATGAAGCGTTTCATCTTTGATCTGTCCAACATAACTAATGCAATCTAACTGCTTCCTCACTTTCACAGCCTCAACCTGCCCCCACTCCCGCGTCTCAACGATTTCTGCCTTCCTTCCACCCTGACAAAAAAAGCAGCAGACTTCTCCATTTTTACTTGTCTCCCCATTATATACATAGACTAATGCATTGCCATGGGGACTACTGTACATTCAGTCTAAGATAACTTTTTCTTCAAAAGGCTATAGGCTAAGTGTTGCCCTCTGACATTGCATATAGTAGTCCAGATCTTGGCCACATGAGCACACATACAAGTCATGTACAAGTATATACTTAGCATAAATTAGACCAATCATCTAGCTACTTTGACATAAGTCAGCTGATAAAAGCCTCTGGGAGCCCAAACTGTATCCATCAATCAGTCTGGCTTAGGTGTGGCCTTGACACTCCCATCAGCAGAGGGTTGGGCATGCCATGAGATGGTTGAGTTCAGGATCCTTACAC